AGCAGGACCTGTCCCCATCCCAGGACCTGTCCCCATTCCCAGGACCTGTCCCCACTCCCAGGACCTGTCCCTGTCCCCAGGACCTGTCCCCATCACAGGACCTGTCCCCATCCCAGGACCTGTCACCATCCCAGGACCTGTCAAACACAAGCACACACACACAAACACACACAAACACAGGCACAAACACAAGCACACACACAAACACACAAACACAGGCACGGGGCAAAGGTGGGGCTGGCCCCAAACCAAAGCTTTCTCTTCTCTCCACTGGCAGATCACCAGCTCTGCTTGTAAGAGGAGAAAGCCAGCTCCAAGGAAAAAGAAAGGTCCTCACATCACTTCTTCCATCAGGCTGACACCTCCTCATCCCGGGGAATTTAACATCTGCCCTATAATTCAGGGAACATGTGGTTATTTTCCAGGTTTATTATTAGCCCAAAGGCCACAGTTGAAATGAAAGGGAGCAGCTGCTCCAGACTTCACCTCTGGAGAAGGGGCTGGGAGCAGCACGGGGCTGCCTGAACATCCCTGGGACACAGCACAGAGCTCACACACCTCATCCCACACCGAAAAACAGGCGGCAAAGTGAGCTTTTCTCCATGTCCAGTGAATAACTCACCCAGGGCAAGGCAGCAGCAGCAGAACACGAGGGAAACCCCCAAAGACAAGCGGGAGCTGGGAGGTGACTCCACTGCCAGGGAGAACCTTGGCTCAAGCCTTTCTGCCCAGGGGAGCAGGCAGCACATCCCAGCTCCTGCCGGATCCTCACCCTCAGGGGTTTAACCCAGGGCCTGGGGCAGGGGTTATTATTATTATTATAATGTGGGGACCAACACAACCTTTGGATGTGAAAACATCGAGCCTGGCAGCAGAAAACCAGCTCTGGCTCTGAGACAGCCAGGAGCAATCCAGGGTGTCAGAATCGCTCCTCTGAGTGCAGATACAGATACACCACACAGAGATTTGTACACACCTGACTGTATCTATATGTGTCCTCTGGGAAATACATACATTCAACATTAATAAAAAGTATAAATGTACAAACACCCAATATACCGATTGTTATATAACTTTAAAAAATTATATAACGCATTAAAAATTGAGAAGCTGCTTGAATAGAAATAAAAAAGGAGAAGTTACAAGATTAAAATAACTGCTTTAAACTCTCTGTTGCAAACCTGGAATAATCACAGACTGCCAAACCAACCAGAGGGAAAAGGAAGAAAGGTTGTGCCACAGCCCAGCAGAGCAGGGGAGTTAAGAGGCACCACTCGCTCCAGGAGTATCCAGGGAGGAAAGAGATCCCTGGATGTGACAAACTGCTCAGACAGGAGCAGTGGGGTGGGCAACAAGGGGCTGAACAACAACTCAGTGGAAAGGTGACACCAAAACCTCGTCAGAAGCACGAGGGGAAGGAATCGGGCAGGGAGGGGAAGGAATCGGGCAGGGGCTGTGGCTGATGGGTGAGACCCAGCACAGCTCAGGAGAGACAGCCAGGCTGAAAGGGAGAGGGAATTGTTTGAGTTCCTTCTCATTCTGGAGGGGATGGCAAAAGGAGGCAGAAACAAAGATGAGCAGTCGGTTTTCATAATGGAAACAACTTCCCACTGCAGCCCCAGAGAGCCCTGTAAAATAGACCCAACTCAGTTATTGGGAAATTATCTGGGGACTGGAGGTGTGTGAGTGCAGTGCCAACTTTTGTTAATGCCACAGAGTCAGGCAGGATCAGCAAACCCTGAACTGCTGCAACAGCTGCACAAAAATCCTACAAAACCCAGTGCCTGAGGTCTGAAAGCTGAACTTCAGTGCCAAATCCTGCTCAGGAGAAAAGACCCCAGGAAGGAATCATGGGGGGTGTGGAGGCTGCTTTGGAAACAGCCACAGGAAAATCCAGTGTGGGAGATTTCTGCCAGAGAAACAGAACAAACTGGAGCTGTGTTGCTGTCTGGCTCTGCTGTGCACCTGCAGGATGAATAAATCCCTGCTCACAGCACTCGGGAAGGGAGAGAGGAGGGAAAGGAGCTTGGACAGAGACAGAGGGTGAATTCTGCACGGAAATAGATCCAGGGCCCTTCAGACTGGCAAAGAGATGCTTGAAAGGGATGTAGGAGACATTAAACCAGAGTTTCATCACATCTTCAACATCACAGAGCAAAGGCAATAGAGAACAAACATTTGCTGTTTTGCACAGCACCAGACCCAAGAGATATCCGAGGAAATTACCAAGAAATCGTTTCAAAAAAAGCAAAAGGCAGAGGAAATGTTTTTGCAAATAGTGCCCAATTATGTTGTTGATTTTTTCCTGGAAGACGTCAAGTGCTCAAAAGAGGAGGAAAATAATGCCTTGAGAGTGACAGACAGCCTTCAGCTCAGGAAGTTTTCAGCAGGGGTTGGGAGGAGC